CTATACAGTGGTGCCTCACAAGACGAACGCCTCACGGGACGAAAAACCTGCAAGACGAAATTGTGACTTATTTTAGTATAGTAAGTCACAGTTAAGAGTAGACCCATTTGAACCAAAAGAATTTATGAAGGAGCTGATTCAGTAAATCTCTAGTGAATCAATGGGTCTACCCTAATGCAACTTACTATGGTAAGCAACAGGATTTCAGTCATTGTGTGCAAACAGTATGTTTACATCAGGGTAGATAAAAATCAATGCAGACTTATAGCAGGAGCAGGGAGGATGTTAAACCCTGGTTTAAAAAACCTTTTAAGCCAAGGGATTTCAAGGAAATACGGTTCTTCCAAAATCATATTTAGAATCATCTTGGGCTGCCACTGGAATAGAAATGACTCAAATCATGACAGATAATGGTCAGAATCCTATTGTTTGTGTGAGATTTGCTTATCTTACTGCAACTAATCATGGCTACTTAAAAGATGTCAAGATGCATCTCACCTGCACAGTCAAGCAAATTACTTGACATATCACCGAGACACACCCCATCATCTCATCTATCAGCAACAACATGCCACACAAATCTTAGATGAACATCAGCAGAATTCTAGTCAAAGCTTCTTTAAAAAAAGTACTCTGCTTGGCTGGGCAAAGCAAAAAAGAGATCTGGTAGAATGAAAATAAACATGTTATCCAACAATATAAAAACCATTCTGGGCAGGAGAAATAAGGAAACCATTGAGTGTCCATTTAAGAAAATGATGTGGACATGGTCTTAATGTCTTTCCCAGAAATACAGCCAGTAGCAGGAACAGGATTGGGTGTTTCATGCTTCATCTTTAAAAATTCTTGTCTCTTTCTGTATGTCTAAAATTATTCTTATTAATGGGTCAGATCTGTCTAGCCAAAGCAAGCCCTTGCCCTGATCACAGAGGCCATGTACATGGCTTGCTGGGTAGCTGCAAGCTAATTTATATTTTCCTGAAATACAGAAGCAAAAGTAGGATGCCAAATTTCAAAACACCTTTTCTTGAATTCTATCACAGCTTCATCTGTACAGCAGAAGGTGACTTACCTCATACAAAGAGAGACGGCACAGTGCCTAACATAATTGGTGCTGAGGCAACTACCTCCCTGTGGTGGGTTTTGTTTAAAACAAAGAACAGACTTTAACCCTGAGAAATAAGACAAATTACAAAGGCATAGATATGACATTTTTAATTTTTTGGATGAAACTATGTAGCCCCTGCATAACCTGAAATGACTAAACCAAGACTGTTATATTTTGGGAACCATGAAAAAACTAGACTCACTAGAAAAAAACAATAATGCTAAGAAAAGTGAAAGGCTGCAGGAAAACAGAAAGAATCAACATGACATGGAATGATTCAATGAAGAAAGTCTCCACCTTTTATTTCCAAGACCTAAGCAAGGCTGTTCATTGCAGGACTTTTGGGGGACTTTAATTCATGGAGATGAGAGTGAAAGAGGAGAGCGCCAAAATAGTCTGAAGCTCAACATAAAAAAAAAAACTAAGATCACAGCCACTGGCTCCATCACCTTCCGGCAAATAGAAGGGGAAGATATGGAGGCAGTGACAGAATTAACTTTCCTGGGCTCCCTGATCACTGCAGATGGTGACAGCAACCACGAAATCAAAAGACGCTTGCTTCTTGGGAGGAAAGTGATGACAAACCTTGACAGCATCTTAAAAAGCAGACACATCACCTTGCCAACAAAGGTCCGAATAGTCAAAGCTGTGGTTTTTCCTGTAGTGATGTACGGAAGTGAGAGCTGGACCATAAAGAAAGCTGACCGCTGAAGAATTGATGCTTTTGAACTGTGGTGCTGCAGGAGACTCTTGAGAGTCCCCTGGACTGCAAAGAGAACAAACCTATCCGTTTTGAAGGAAATCAACCCTGAGTGCTCAGTGGAAGGACAAATCCTGAAGCTGAGGCTCCAAGACTTTGGCCATCTCATGAAAAGAGAAGACTCCCTGGAAAAGACCCCGATGTTGGGAAAGTGTGAGGGCAAGAGGAGAAGGGGACGACAGAGGATGAGATGGTTGGACAGTGTCATCGAAGCTATCAACATGAATTTGACCCAACTCCAGGAGGCAGTGGAAAACAGGAGGCCCTGGCGTGCTCTGGTCCATGGGGTCATGAAGAGTCGGACACAACTTAACGACTAAACAACAATAACAAAATTCATGGAGATACCATAAGTTGGAAGTGACTTTACTGAACGTAACTACACATAACATCTTCCTATGGCTGATATTTACAAAAGCCAAATTAGTCAAAGAAATCAGAATTATACACCTGCTGACTGTTGTGATTCATCTTGGGGAGGGGGTATTTTCTGATTGTGAAATGACTGCAGCAACATGGGAATAAACAATATAGAATGTCAATGTAGTTGTGACTGGGCAGTTGCGAGTCTTTACTTCATAACAAACGGTAAGAATTGTGTACTGGCAATTAAATTCTGACTTGATGGTGACCAGGATTTCCTATAGTACACAGAAGTAATCTACCATTCCTTTCTTCTGGTGGCATTCTGAAAATGTGCAGCTTGCCCAGTCGCAGGCTGACTGTTCTCCTCAGAGGTAGTATAAGGAATCAAACTCCTGGGTCCACACTCAGGTAGTCTAATTAATTGAACTATCCAGTCACCTACTTTACATCAAACAGTAGCAGCAAAGACAGGAATTCTTGGTCTTTCTAGCTGAATTTTATTTCACATCCGAAATGTGTTTTCCTCAAAGTTTTGTACAGTTAAAAATTAGCCTGCCAATACACATAGATCCCATCACTGTTCAGTCCATACAGCAGGGGAGTGAGGATTGTGAAACAGCCAGCATTAATTCTGCCACCGCTGAAAACTAACTCAGTGCTATATCCACTTCATGGGCATGTTGAAAGTTACAGTACCATATGATGACACCACAGTGTAGGATAGGATTGTTAAAGTCTCTTGAGATGTTGAACAGTTCTTGTTCTAAGCTTATATTCAAAAGAAAACAGGCAAGTCTCTCCTTATGTGGAGTTTATACCTTCTGGTTTACTGGAAATTGCAAAGTGAAGTATGCTAAATGTATTCATTGTTTCAACTTCAACAACGCTTACATCTTTTTGACAGCCTGTAAGCTTGATGAACCCATTCTTGACATTAGATTATATTAAACCATTTTAGAGCCATTTACACATTTTGAAGAGAGAAAATAGAAAAAAACTTTACTTGAAGTAAGAAAATGTTTGCACTTTCTCCAGTATTAATTTTTTATCTGATGCATTTCCACTTCTATTTACATATTTTATATTTATATATTTCAGGTGAATGTGGATACTCCCTCAATAAAAAAATATGTGAATGTTTATAGTTTTAACACAAGGAGAAAGCTTTAATTCCATCATGTTCACAAATCTTCCGGCAGAACAATCTACAATCCATTTTACTAGTTGCAACACTAGAATGCTGAATCTAGTTCCTGGGAAGGAATTCCACAGGCTTTCTAACATTCAAAGGCCTGTTTATTTCACTCCAAACTTATTCTAACATTGTTGTTTGTCTTTTTGTACAATACAAAGCTAAGTGATCAAAACAGTTACTACAGTCCTGAAAATGGCTTAGAATTTAGTAGGCCTTCCCAACCACAAAGAAGCACAAACCACTGCAGATAAAAGTGTGATAAATATTCAGTATCATCTACCCTTGACATGTTTGGTTTATTTATAAGAACGCTCCAAAGCACATTTATAGGACGGACCTTCCTGTAGATTAATGATTAGTTGGACGTCTGGGATTTCTAGGGAAGCCTCATATAGCAGCCTCAATTCCGCATTGCTGCTGCTTGCTTGGGCTCCTTTTGACTAGTAATTCAACACACACATACAGCCCGAACAGCCTGCAGATCTTTTGGTTCTTCTGCAGAAATATGTGGCAGCAATAGGTGCAGTGACTGAACCAAGTCAATAACACTGGTAGCCTTGACAGTCTGACAATGAAAACATATATGAGACAGTCAAAGCACAATGAAAAGTGAATAAAGTACTGAAAAGGCTTTGCCAAAGGGAGCTTCTAGACGCAAGATTCAATCCTAATCTTATTTATGATCATTATTGCAGATTAAATTCCTCCTACTCCACACACAAACAACCACTGAAATAGCACAACACTACCTTCCTTTCCTTGTATATACTGCAAGGGTGCACAGAAGGTTTATCAGCCTGTCAAACCTTCCTCCTCATGAGCACTGAACATTAAACACCATCACATGCCCCACTTATGTTCTCACACATGACAACAACTCTTAAAAGCAAAAATTATCACAAATAGCCTTTCCAAATCTAATGTGTATCACACTAGCCAGGGGATGAGGGAAGGATACAGAGACATCAGAGACCATCCACATATTTGCTCATCTCCTGATTCCCACCATCAAATCCTGTCAAGACCATTCTCAAAAACCGAGTATATATCCATGACAGACCCCTTCTTTTCCTCTATTTCCTTCTGCAGGGTCATTTCACACATTTCAGAGAGTCAGGCACACCCAAGAGTGTCCCAAACAGAGTACACTCAACAGGAAGCTGCAGAGCACCGTTTCCTGACCAGGGTGCTTTCAGGATACTCGGGATAGCGCGACACGCATTTGTCCCGCGCACCCTCCACGTTCCTTATATATATTCCACACATGACGTGGCAGCAACCCCCGACTTTTGCGGCGCAAGCTTGGAAGGCACGCACGGAGCCGAAACCTGTGCTGACCTCTCCCCCCCCCTTTGCGCTTTACATCTGGACACGTGCTTCCGAGTCACCAGAGGGGGGGGACACGCGTTACGTGGGAAGGCGCGACCCCGGAGAAGCCGGAGTTACCCTCCGCAGCAGCCGAGCGAGCGAGCGAGCCGCCCTCGTTTCCTCCTTCACCAGGGATGCCGCCGCCGCCGTTTTCCTTCCCTCATTCAAGCCTGCCCGGCAACCCCGGAACCCGGTTTTTTTACCTGTCCCCAGAGACGGGTTTTCGGCCGCCGCCGGCGACGTGGACGGAGCGCCTCTGGTTGCGGGGGCGATGCCAGGGCTTCCTCTCCGGCGGCTAACGGCCACGTCCTCCGCTTTGGGTTCGCACCGGCCGGCAGGCGACGCGGAGGAAGGCGAGGCGGAGACGGCGGCATCCGTCTCCGGCAGGGGCAGAAGCAGCAGGAGCAGCAGCAGAAAGATCCCCTCCGGCCGCCCCCGCCAGCCCTCGCCCCCGGGAGCGGAGAGCGTTAGGCAGCTCGGGCTCATCAGGAAGGCGGGAGCCGGTGGCCGAACCGTCGGAAATGGACACCCTCAGCGGCTGAGGCGGCGGCGGCAGCAGCAGCTCCCCCGGCGTCGTCGTCGTCGCTCGTCTGTCCCCCTCCTCCTCCTCCTCCTCCTCCTCCGCTGGCCACCGCCTCCCCCGGTTCTGTGGCCCCGCCCCCAGGTGCTCCACGCTCTTGTGACGAAAGAGGCGATGCGGCGATTGCAGCTCCCGCCGCCACAAAAGCTACAGCCGGCGTGCCGTGTACCCCGCATGCGCGAAACCAAGCCACCTCAGAGCCTTGCAAAGTCCCTCCACTGACAACGGCCTCGATAGCCCAGCCGCCCTTCCCCCCGTTTCTCACTATTATGCACGACTTGGCTGCCAAGTGGGCATGCGCGCAAGGGGAGCCCGAAGCCACTTTCTGCCCTTAAAGGACCCATTGCCCTAAGTTGCTCGTTTGTCCGCATCTTGCCAGGGACTCGGAGGTCTCCTTGGAGAGTAGGTTCGCACAAGCAGTGCCGGTGCCAGGGGAAAACAGCTGGAGAGCGGTTGTGTGTGAGAAGAATCAATAAATCAGGAAATGGGAAAGAATTCAAAATCAGTGGAGGAGAAAGCAGACTCAGTAAGTTCCAATGTACTCCTGTAATGTGATGCCTTTCCATCACTTACAGCTTACATGGAACGAAAAAAACTATAAAACAAAGGAATCCGCAAGTCCTCTTTACCCGAGACTGATTATAGATTAGTTTCATGGGATGCAACCTACAGTGGACAAGTTGTTTCCTGGTAGGTTTGTATGGATTCTGATTTTAACCGTTCTTCGCATGTAGGGAATTTATTTAACCCATACAGTATTTGTTGTTGTTTAGTCGTGTCCCACTCTTCGTGACCCCATGGACCAGAGTACGCCAGGCCCTCCTGTCTTCCACTGCCTCCCGGAGTTGGGTCAAATTCATGTTGGTCGCTTCGATGACACTGTCCAACCATCTCATTCCCTTCTGCCTTCACACTTTCCTAACATCAGGGTCTTTTCCAGGGAGTCTTCTCATGAGATGGCCTCAGCTTCAGATCTGTCCTTCCAGTGAGCACTCAGGGTTGATTTCCTTCAGAATGGATAGGTTTGTTCTCCTTGCAGTCCAGAGGACTCTCAAGAGCCTCCTCCAGCACCACAATTAAAAAGCATCAATTCTTCGGCGGTCAGTCTTTTTTATGGTCCAGCTCTCACTTCCATACATCAATAAGGCCATCTTGTCTCTCCTTGCTATTCTTTGGAACTCTGCATTCAATTTTCTGTAACTTTCCCTGTCTCCCTTCTATTTTGTCTCCCTTCTCTTCTCTGCTAATTCTAAGGCCTCGTTGGACAGCCACTTTGCTTTCTTGCATTTCCTTTTCTTTGGGATGGTTTTTGTTGCTGCCTCCTGTACAATGTTATCAGCCTCCGGCCATAGTTCTCCAGCATTCTGTCCACCAAATCGAGTTCCTTAAATCTGTTCTTCACTTCCACTGTGCATTCATAAGGGATTTGGTTTAGATTAGATCTGACTAGCCCAATGGTTTTTCCTACTCTTTTCAGTTTAAGCTTGAGTTTTGCTATAAGAAGCTGATGATCAGAGCCACAATGAGCTCCAGGTCTTGTTTTTGCTGACTGTATAGAGCTTCTCCATCTTTGGCTACAGAGAATATAATCAATCTGATTTCGGTATTGCCCATCTGGTGATTTCCACGTGTAGAGTCGCCTCTTGTGTTGTTGGAAAAGAGTGTTTGTGATGACCAACTTGTTCTCTTGACAAAGCTTTATTGGCCTTTGCCCTGCTTTGTTTTGATCTCCAAGGCCAAACTTACATGTTGTTCCTTTTATCTCTTCGCTCCCTGCTTTAGCATTTAAATCTCCTATAATGAGAACAACATCTTTCTTTGGTATCAGCTCTAGAAGGTGTTGTAAATCTTCATAAAATTGATCAGTTTCAGTCTTCTCAGCATTGGTGGTTGGTGCATAAACTTGAATTATTGTGATGTTGAAAGGTCTGCCTTGGATTCGTATTGA